GACTTAGAGTGAAGCCTGAGTGAACAGTTTTGGGAGCGATATGAGCTTTTGCAGGTGAGCTATAGTGTTGTGCTAAACTGTAAGAGTGTTTTGCCAAATGATCTTAGAGGTTTAAGAATGTAATTTCTGTTTCAAGAAATGAGCCAAACAAATGGAGAAAAACTGTATGTCAGTTTGGGTTAGTGAATTTATTGTATGTTTTAAGTAAATGTTTTATTTAGTCTTATATCTCTGTTTTGTTTCTACGTGTTTGTGCCTTCTGCTGTATAGTGTCACATCTGATTCCTAACGTCTCACCTGCAGCATCTTAGACACTCCTCAGGTACATAGAGGAGCTTTCACATGAAGTCACCATACCTGATGGAGGTCATGTTCACAGCTTTGGAGATGCATACGTAAGTAAGAAGCTTATTTTTATAGCACCTTTGTGATAAAGATTGCAAGGTGCTTTAAAATCAAAACAAGTGGGAACGACACACTGAGAATTGACAAAAATACAAGCAGGAAATGAACTACAGAGAAAGTGGCAGATTAACAGGAGTCTACATAAAATTCAGCTTTTACTGTAAAGCAGATATCTGGAGTTTTCTCTCAGAGAGCACTCTCTAGTGGTGGAAACACGTATTGCATCTTAAGCCCCCCTCCCTACTGTTGTGATTACGACTGGAAGTGATGCATCTTGTTCATAAACATGCACCGTTAGCCATGAAACAGAGCTAAAACACATTGTCTTAAAACTTTTATATAACTTACTATATTAGTAAAAATTGCATGAAAAAAAATCCAGATAACAAACCCATTAATACAAGTAAAGCTGTGTAAGACGCAGACCTGTATGTTTATATAAAGTTTGTCATCATTAACTTTTAATTGTGTACATGTGCAGGCAAGAGGTAGGGGACCCAGGCTGCTCTTGGACACAGGAAAGAGGGTCCTTGTGAGAAAAGGTTGGGAACTAAAATTGATTCTATTTGAAGTAGAGACGTTCTGCTGCTGTTTCTCGCCACTGATGCCCACATTGTAGACCCGGCTTAATGCTATTGGCTAATACTGAATGGAGTTCAAGCAAAATTGCATTGAGCTCTACAGGATGGGGGCAGGCTTAGCATAAAACTGACATGGTCTGAGGCAAGGGCGTCAGTTTGTTTTCAGAATTGCTGGGGATACTAACCATACACTTGAGTGGGGTTTAAAAATTGCTGGGGACAATAAAGTAGGCTAGCACAGGGGTCGGCAATCCGCGGATCTGGAGCCGCATGCGGCTCCTCTATCCATCTGATGCGGCTCTCTGTACTTTTAAAATAATGAATGGATATTTAAATAAAATGCTTTATATTTTACTGCATTAATTTTACACCTGTATGCCAATTCTAAATGTAAAGATTGTCTGCGTAAACCTGAACAGGTCCAACCCAGTCTTACTGTGAGACCGGGTTGACGCGTCACGCTTGTGCGTAATCATATAGGCGCTTCTGAGCTGCTTTCTGACCTTCCCCACCTACATAGTTTAATTACAACAATCAAACGTGACAGAGCCCGGATTTGTATTCTGAACAGTCTAAACATGTTTTAAAAAGAATCGCGTGACAAAAGTGGCACCTGCTCAGTAAAACCACCAACAGGGTGAAAAATATCAAAATATTGTCGGCAGAGACGCGGGCTACAACTTCTGGATCCACTTTATATAAATCGTTTTATTGATTATCTTCTTACGAAAGATAACTTTGACGTACACGAGCGACCAGGCGCGTTGCAAACTTTTCAAAAGTGTGGGGGATGTTGTCTGTGCCTAAAATAAGTTCATGCTATTCATCTTGTTATTTTAATTTCCATAATAGCGGAGCAGGTGCGAATTTTAGACGCGTCACGCATGTCTCAGTTTTAAACATGTTTAAACTGTTCAGAATCCAAATCCAGGCTCTGTTTCGTTATATTGGTATAACTAAAGTTTGTACTGAATGAAACTTTACATTAAACCATGTTGAAAAGAAAAGGATCCGATTAAATCGTTTCCCCTCATTTACAGTCACGACGTACAGCGCAGTGCGCGTGGCTCTGGGGTTAATCAAGTTTAGTTGTTTCTCTTTGCAACAATCTTCACAGGAAGGCAAAACAGTTAAATGACAGGTTACAGATATTTCCATTTGACTGTTTATTTTGACGGATAAACTCAAGGATGTTCGTTCATTTCCTCCCACTGAAGCGGTCTGGAAACCCGGTCTCTCTGAGGGATGTGTCACTTGGAAAAATGTTATTTTTATGAAATTATGAAAGTTTGGCTGAACAGCGCTTGTTCCCGTCTCCAATATGGAGACGCATGACACATCCAGTCGCCTCTTCAGCTCAGAAAGCACCTGTAGAGACATTTGATCACGCACAAAGTTTATGTGGAGCAGAAGCGGTCGGGCCACGGCAGGTGAAATGTTCCTTGCCTACATGAAGTGAAACTGTTTAATTGTAACATTAATATGTTACTGGACACGCAGGTCTGGTTGGTTAGACCAGTGTTTGAAGTGGAAACACACACACACACACACACACACACACACACACACACACACACACACACACACACACACACACACACACACACACACACACACACACACACCAGATAAAATAATGCTGATAGCATGGACTAGAAGACAGGTGATGGTTTACTTATTTAAATGATGATCAGGCTGCTGTAAAATGTAATCTCCATCCACATCCAGACACAATTATCCTCTATTCTTTCTCTAGTTGCTCTGCTCTCGTCTGGGCCGATAGCTGACGGAGCGCGCGGCGCGCCTAACTAGCGGCTGATGCACATTTTACGCATTTGGAAAGGTGGGCCGGATGCTTTGCTTTTACTGGAAGATAGTCCACTTAACGCACGGGTGTAGACTACATATTAATGACAAATGAATGAAAATTAAATTGGGAGTTTTTACTTCATATTTTATAAATAAAAATGACAGGGGAACACATTTATGATGTCTTTTTAAACAAAATTTTCTAGCGCGACCTGCCTGCTTCACTAAGTCACTGCTTATTAAGGTCCATCCAAAATTACCTTGGCCCACCCAAAAATGAAAACCTGGCGCCGCGCCTATTATAAACCTCTGCAAATGGTTGTTCTTCACTTTATCAAACTCAGACTTTGTACAGCTAATGTCAAGATGTAAAATTATTCAGTCGAGCTCTTCCGTCCCTCCCTCTCCTGCTCTCCTGGAAACCCGACATCGGCTGTCAGAAGCGGAGGTGAAGAAGGAGATGAGGCAAACAGAGTGAGTGCGACATAAAGAAACCAGACTGGTGTGGAGGTGAGCAAAACAGCTGGAAAAGTGTGGGTGTTGAATCCCCCACGGGTGCGACGCCCATGGTACCGGCTGCTGTCACCTGGTTGTGAGCAGCTCTCTGCTGTCTGAGGCTAGGCCCCGCCCACAACGATGCGACTGCTGCGGTGTTTTCTTTACTATGGGAAACGGGTAATAATGGCTCTTTGATGGGAACAGGTTGCCGACCCCTGGTATAAGATCTGAGCTGGTAAAACAAAAATCCTCATCAGCAGGCTTTTTTGAAAGTGGGGGGGACACAGCTGCCAATTACAAATTTTGCCGGGGACATGTCCCCGGTGTCCCCGGTTAAAATGACGCCTATGGTCTGAGGTGAGTGGCAGCTAATCATCTCCTGTGAGTTTCTAATTGCAGGTGGGCGGTGCTGAGGAGCGGGCCCAGCTGCTGCTGGTTTACCAATAACCCCATCAGCTGTTTGAGGAGAGGTGGAACAACAGCACTTTGCCGGATCATTACTTGTGTTGGGTCACGTTAGCTAAACCTCTTGTGGATTATCTGCTAGATCTCCTGTGACGACCTCCCTGTTCACATGACTTCTTATGTGCCTCCAGGTTCTCACACCACCCTCAACTCTGAATCTTTCTCACCACCATCGTTCCACCTCAGCTCCAACTCATTGTCCCACTCTCAGCCGCCCACCTGTGCTCATCTTCCCGTAAACCTGTAAAAATCGCAAAGTACTGCAGTGAAATCAGTTTTTCCAATAGATCATACGGTCATGAAAAGTTTATCTCAACTCTGGTCTTCAGGTCTTCTTATGCTACAGCAGTGGATGTTGATGTATTTCAGCCTGAGAATGTAAGAAAGTATTATTTCATCTTTGGGTTTCAAGTCTGTCTGAAAATCTTACCCAATATCTTCAGCTAAGCTAGATGAACCTCATCTTCTCTGATCTTAGAATGACATGGACTTCATGTTGGCTGAGGTGTAAGGACATTACAGGAAGACCAACAAGCTCACAGCATCAATTCTGGGAGAAGCTGTGGATTTCCACTCCGACCAGCTGATGTTTCAGTTTATATGAGATAAAATCCACTTTCTGGAAAAGCCAACCCGTCTCTCATTTCTAAGCTCTTCTGGTTCATTGGGTCTATTTTAGTGAAAGGCAAGATAAAAGCATCGCCGTTTGACCAAATGCCCTCATGCCCATATTTATCACTGCTGCAGCATCATGGTCACAGATCTGAGAATTTTGGTGTTCAATGTCAAATCTTCAGTCTTTTACATTTCCTGCTTTGAGTCATCTTTACTTTTGGCTCCGCCTGTTTGTGTGAAAAATATGTTTTTTTTAAATATACATCTGCTTGCTGCCTCTGTTGTCCTGCAGAAAGGTCTCTTAAACCTAAAACTCAGGCAGGATTTAAAAATCAGTATCTCAGCCTTTCAATCTCAACTTAATGGAGCATGCTGCAAAGCTGCATCTTCTAAAATAATAATACTGGGATAAATATTGAGTTTGATTAAAAAGAAAGCGAAATAACCTGAAAAACTAAATCAGTGCTTAAGAATCAGACTCAAAACTGAATAAAATAAATAAAAAAATTCACATTTCATTTAGATTTTCTTTGACATCCAGTTGCTATTATTTGATTTGGTTCATCAATGAAAATAACCTATTTTGACTTTGACCATCACTCTTATTCAGAGACGAAGAAATCCAACTTTGTGATTTAAACCAAGTTTATTTCTACTCATCACACCCCACCAACAAATGATAACATCCAAAGCTCAAAATAAATTATTAAAGTGATGTTTTTAAATACATATTAACAACAGGTTTAAATGCTCAGGTTACAGAAGACAAAAACAGATAATTGTTTATTCAAGTCAGCGTTATTAAACTGAAGTTAAGTGAATAAACCCAAAATGAGCAGCCATGTTTGTGCCCAGCACTGGAACCATTTCTGAGACTCATCCTGACACCTGCCGTTTAATTCCAACATGTCTGTTCCTCTACCTAATTACAGCCTGCTATAATCAGATGTAAAGTTTCTGGGTTGGCATCATTAACAGTTGAGAATGGAGTTGGCCCTCAGAATGCGGATTACCTTCTTTGAGGTGTAACTGTACTCGTACTGCAGATGTTCATGAAAAAAGTATAAAAATCCTGAAAGAAAACAGAGTGGGATAAATGTTATTAAATACCAAACAGCTTGGAAAGTAAATAACTTACACTCCTGTCTACTGTAAAATAAAAGAGTTGTGTGGATTTCAGCGACATCTCCTGGTATACCACTAACATGCATGTGAGGATCATTGCTCCCTTACACTTTTAGCTATTGCTTTCAAACTTGTTTAAATTGTTTTTAAGCCAGAAACGTGAACAACGTCTTACTGGACAGCACTCTGTAGCTCGTTGCTGACCAGAAACAGTTTTGTGGTGCGGGGTAGGAGCACCAGAGGGAGGTCTCTACTTATGGTGATACTTGTTACTGTGCCGGTAACTAATTTAAAGGCTAGCAGTTAGCTTTTTCAGTTTGCCAGCCATCAATAAAAAGGACAAGAACAAGAATTTAGCTTTGTTTTTGTTGGCATCATGGTGGAGCCTGGAAGTAAGAGTAAGAGATAATGTGTTTGGGGGTGAAGTAAAGAGGTAAAAGCAAAGTGAGCAGCCTACACTCATCTGAGGGAGCTGAAGGAGGCGATGGAATCACAGACTAATGGTGAGCTGGCTTTCTTGCTATATTTTTTTATCCAACAGTGTTTATCTTTTTACTTTGTGACGTATTTAGTACCAGTCAGCTTGTGTTAGCAAGCACGTTGCTACAGCAGGCTGCTGAAGGGTTGTTCATGGCTGCTGTAATTCCCCTTTCAACCAGATAAAGAAGCAGGAAACATAGGAATTGGTGCTTTAAATAAAACTGTTGTGAATGATTTATCATGCTCCTGCCAATAGATTCTTATGAATGTGACACGATATATATTTTATCTGAACACAGAGTGGAAATGTCATCATACCATAGTGATAAACAGCAGCGTCAACTTCATCGTCCATTCCTGGAAAGTCTGTCTCAATTGATCGTGGGTAGCCAGTGTCTAGTTTGCCTGCTGCTTCATCAAAACTGTCGGTTACAAATAAAAACAAAAACACTGAATCAAACAGTATGAGATGATTAGATTGTAAATGTATTTAACTGTACCTCCAATAGTCTTCCTCAGTGAAGAGTAAAGTTTTCCCTGTGTCTCTGATGTGCACAGCTGCATCTATTTTCCTGATAGACTTAGGAAGACCAAGTTTGTGTATGTACTTTGGGTAACCCTCCACAAGGTTATATCCATTCAAAGCCCACATCCGGATCCCTGTCGAAACAGTTTTGTTACGTGACCATCAGTGTCAGGAAAGCCAAAAAATAAAAATAAAAAATTTAACACCTACCACTAAATATGATGACTAAATCCTTCTCTGGGTTCTCGTAAGCTGCATCCACTTTGTTTGGAATGGAGGGCCATGTGGACTTGATCAGTGTCTGCTCAGGTTCTACCATCTGAGGATGGAGACGCCAGTAGAAACTGCAAAAAGGTAGCAAGATACTAACAGCATGCTGGTGAAGGGGCCTAAAACATCTCACATGTGGCCTAAGAGGACAAAAAGACACTAACAACACTCTGGATGATGGAGGGCCGGCGGAGGGACCTGTAAGCTAGCTCGTATCAACAAAAAACTAGTTTGGTGCTCCTCACTTGTTGTTTTGACTGGATGAAGGTGTGCCTTCCAACCCTCATGTGTGGTCATGAGCTTTGGGTAATAACAAGAGAGTGAGATCACGGATACAAGTGGCTAAAATGTGTTTTCTCCGCAAAGTGTCTGAGCTCTCCCTTATGGTGAGAATCTCATTCATCGGAGTAGATCCAATGCTCCTGCACATCAACACAGTTGTAGTGGCTTTGGCCATCTGGTTAGAATGTGTCCTGGATGCCTCCCTGGAGAGGCTTTCTGGGTACGTTCAACTGGGAGGGGACCTAAAGGAAGACCCAGGACACTGGAGGGACTACAGCCTTTTTCACAAAACAATGCCGTCAATTTGCCACAGTGCTGAAGAGTGGTCAGATTGTGGCGGTAATCTGATGCAATTGTGTCCTTTTTACAAAAGATTACGTGATAGCGGTATAAAGGGGGCATGGGGGCGGTCTCTGCGCTGCTGCGGACTTTTGTTTATCTTGGACTTAACTTTCTTTTTATTGCCATCAAAGCCATGCTCATTGAGTATTTTTAACAAGCCGCTCCTAAATGTGTCTGTGCTCCACAGTCCCTGTGCAGTTTCCAGTGGGCTGACCACCAGCTCTAACAGAGAGAAGCTCCAGGAACGCTGCATCATTCTCAGCTGGTTCTGTTTGCAAAGCAAAATTTAGGGCCCTTGTTTACTTTCAGCTTCAATGCAGTTTCCGACCCTAGCTCGGCAGTAACTCTCCACGTGATCATGACACCCCCCTCTGTTGCGCCAAGGCTTAAAATACATTCAGAAATCCGGCGTTGCTGCAATATTACTACCAAGCGAGGGGGAATGAATGCCGCAAAACCCGTGCATTGCCATGCTGGGATGATGCATTTATAAGACACACCGTTGCAGTAATATTATGCGGATTTGCCTGCACTGTGTGTCTCATGAAAAGGGCTAATATTTCTTGTCTGGACAGGGAACACCTTGGCATTCTCCCAGAGAAGCTGGCCCAAGTGGCTAGGAAGAGGAAAGTCTGGGCCTCCCTGCTTGAGCTGCTGCCCCCGTGACCCGACCCGGATAAGTAGCAGAGAATGGATGGATGGATGAATGGAAGCTGCATGGAAGATCACAAATGCAATCAATCTTCATACCTGTCTTTGAAGATGATGGTTTCTCCTCTGAGCTCTGTGACTGCATCAAAACTCAACATGGGATCACATTTAGTTGGTGCATCTGGCTTTGGCTTGATCTTCTTTGGGTTTGGGTTGGGACCTGCATTGACATTGTCGTAAACGGACTTGCTCATAGAACCGTTTGTTCTTGACTGAAAATAGGTTTAAACACAGATTCCAGATCTGCCCACCATAGAGATCTTGAATGCCTTCGATGTCATCTTCAGACAGTGGGTAGCCAGTAGTGTAGGAGTAGATGGGGTACATAAGGGCACCAGGGTCTGATGAGTGGGACATACCAAGTGCGTGGCCCAGCTCATGAGCTGCCACTATGAACAGGTTGTACACTGCAAGGAAAAAATGTGTTTAATACATTTTCTCTTCCTTAACAATCAGAGTGCATTTCAGCTGAACATCTGAGAATATTCTCACTTGAGGAGTCTTTGGTCCAGTGTTCCTCCTCATCAAAATGAGTGTCTCCTCCAATGCCTGGGCCAGGAGGATAGGCATGAGCCAGCAGACCATTGGGACCATCAAATGGATTGTAGTCACCATGTTCTTCAGAATAAAAGACAAGAGCTTTGTATGCTGAACCAGAATAGGCGAATATGAATCTGAACACAAAATGTTTCATTGAAACAATACTTTTTTTTTTACCTTTTGTTCCAAAGCTGATCATAATGTCAGCATTGCCCTCATGCAGCTTGTGAAAAGTCAACGGGGTGACATCAGACCAAACGTTTAGAGCTCTGCGGATGGCTCTGTCTACATCAGACTTCACCAGGTCAGGTGTGTAATTCAAAATCCTGAAGCATTGGTGGCACAGAGCATTAGGATGTAAATAAACTGTTCAATTGAAAAGTTCTCGTGAAATATTTAACCTGTGCCTACATTTATCCATCTGAACCTCACCTGAACGTGACATTGTTTTTGCCCCATTTGAGGTCTCGGGGGAAGTGGCTGTATCCCCTAACCTCTGGGACACCACATCTAGGTTTCTTCATCACGTCTAACGTAGCCTCATCAACCTTCCCAGTTACCTTCACAACCAACACAACAAAAACTATTTAAACGAGTGTATGACAATAACCAAAAGGAAACATGGGTTTTGTGTGAATTCTATTGACAAAGATCTATATTTTTTGTTTATGTGAAGAAATTATTTTGAATAAAATAGAAAAATCACATAATTGTTTTCTATGTCCCTTTACCTTGAGTTTGAAAAACCTCTGCATTTCTTTGATCTTTGTCTTAAAATCATTTGAAGATGTGTGTCGACTTCTCAGACCTGTGGCGAGACCTGTGGGGAGACCTGTGGAGAGACCGTAGAAGCGACGGAGGTATTTCTGTTTGAAAGAGAGCAAAAAACATTACATTGTATTTCACACTGCACATCTATAAGTCAGTCTAATCTTACAGATCCCTACCATCCAGGATCTCACCTCTGCTATGAGTAACTGGTCTTCATCTTTGGACAGCAGAGGCAGAGCAGAGGAGTGAGGGACTAATACCAGCAGCAGGAGCAGAGAAAACATTGTTGTTGACTCTGGGATATCCAAGCCAGGCTTTGGGGTCAAGGAGCTCTCGAGGGTATTTATAGTGTCTTAGCCTACTTTTTCTTCTTTTTTTTTTTTTTTTTTTTACATCAGAAGGATGTGTTGAATCATGTAAAAGCACCTAGCCACTTCCTCTGTGGTAATTTGGGAATGTGCATGGATCTGTAAATGTGAGGTCTGACTAAACTTCTTTGAACGGAACAGAAACGCTGAGATATAACATGTCCCACTTCCCAGACTGTCTTCATTTAAAGAGTTGGCTGGTCATTTTCTGGGAAAGGTTTAACCCTCTGGAGGCAGCCATTGCAGATTTGCAATGTAAAAACTTACCTACTTGGTTCATGAGCATTTTTAACTCAGAAGTACCCCTGAAGGACTTAGTTGTTCATCCTTTTATCAAAACTTACTTTGAGCCTGAGAGGGTTAAAAGAAAATCGGGCCATTTTCTTTCTCTTTACAAATTAAAAAGCAACAGTTATTGTATTGTGATACTTTTAAAGATCTGATTTGTTTGTTGTCTTCTGCAAAATCTTTTTTAATCAAAAGTAATCTGGATTTTTTCTTTAACTGCTGCTGATTTGGAGCCAATCTTGAGTTTGGCCTGTTTAAATTAAAATCTTGTGAGACACAATCACAACTCAGAACCATTTACAACACACGTCTATCTGATTTCACATTATGACCAAAAACTCTGAGTCATAGGATACAAACTTGTGTTTACTTGGAACTGCATAAAGCAGCAATTCCTGGTGTTTGATGTGGTTTTACTCAACATCTTTGTCTAGCATTTGTACCAGGACTTACTGGAAATAAACTAGACGGTAAAATGCTCCTATATTACTCAATTCTGTCAGATGTTAAGTGATAATGTGGAAAACTTTTTCTGAGCCCAATCATCAATATTTTTTATATTCCTAGAGTGGGATGCGAACATTTGGGCAGCCTTGTTAATCTTTATGATGTTCCTGTTTAAATCATTGGTTGTTACAGCAAAAAAGATTTAAGTTAAATATATCATAGGACACACACACACAGCGATATCTGGGAACATAAACAAAGTTTATAGGATTCATAGAAAGTGTGCAAGAGAAAAGACTTCCTCTGCATCACTCATATACAGCATCTCCTTGTGTAAAGTGCGCCAAATAGCTGAATGATGCACAGTGACTCCATCTGCAGCAAGATGATGTTGTAGGTCTTTGGTGTTGGTCTGTAGGTTAACTCTGATTGTTTATATGAGATTTTTCTTGGTCTGCCACTTGGAGCCTTAACTTGAACAGTGCCTGTGGTCTTGTATTTCCTCAATATGTACCTAACTATGGAAAATACTCTTTCTCATAACTGGATTCACCTGTGTAAGGAGGTCAAGGGTCACTGAGCTTACCAAGCTAATTTTGAGTTCCAATAATTAATTCTAAAGCTTTTGGAATCAATAAAATGACAACAGTACCCACATGTATGCACCTGCCTAATTTTGTTTAAACTATGTAGGGTTTGGTAAATTGAGTGCTTTAAGAGCACAATAAATATTACCTCTAATTATGACCAATAAGCTGTGATACTCTATCTAAATATAGAATATGAACCCTGCTTGGTCTTCACTGTGTTTATCAGAAGATTCTAGGATTCTTTATTTATAAGGAGATTGTACACACTTTGTTTTGATTCAGAAAGGAGTCAGGTTTATAAAAGTAAGAATTTATTTTACCAACAATTAAAACATGACAAGTTAACTAAGCATTTACTGTGATGGATGGAACTAGATGCAATGTATGAAACCTATGTGTGAATGCGATGTTACGCCAGGGACACACCAGCCGCTGAAGCGCTCATGAAATTCAGCCGCTGCTCCTCAGTTCAGACCAGACACTTGCTTCTCCGCTCCGGTCGAGGCGCCTCGACTCAGCTGTAGTTTTTCTTTTAACCACTTGGTGTCCTCCATTTCCTCTCTGCCTTTTCTCTGCTCTGTTCCTCTACAGCCCCCTTCCCCTTGCTGTTTGTGTGTGTGTGTTTGTCCGCGTGTGTGTGAACCTATGTTGTGAACCAGTTGTTAATAGCTGGCCTATGACTTTCTGCCTCTCTGTCCTGTTTGCTCCGGTTGAAAGACACCCAAAACTACACCCCCTTCACGTGGTCACACACACACACACACACACACACACACATAAGTTCGCTGTGTGTGTGTGTGTGTGCGTGTGTGTGTGTGTGTGTGTGTGTGTGTGTGTGTGTGTGTGTGTGTGTGTGTGTGTGTGTGTGTGTGTGTGTGTGTGTGAGTGAGTGAGTGAGTGAGTGAGTGAGTGAGTGAGTGAGTGAGTGAGTGAGTGAGTGTTCATGTGGTTTTTATACAGTGTCTGTTTACGAACACATTTCACTATCGCGGAATTTTATTTTGAAATGCTTTATTTTGTTAAATTTACCGGCCTGCCTCTTATGTCTAGGTTTGACTTCCTGCCAGAATTGACGCGATTCACCCGCAGCTCGGGAAAAAATAGATCAGACGCCAAAACGATCGCTGCACGGTGCGGGTTGGAGCGCCGGCGCGCAGCGCTTCGGTAGCCCATGTGGCCTTTAGAATAGGAAAACAAGGGCGCCAAATGAAGGTGGTCCCCGTTTCGCGGTGCCTCAGCGGCCGGTGTGTCCCAGGCGTGAGTCAGAACTTCCACATCTAGGAGAGCTGAGTTCTGGATGCAAAAGAATTTGGTTTGCTTTAAGCTATGAAGCTGATTGTTATCAAAAGCACATCAGATGCTATCTGTGTGTCTACTTCACCCGTTCTGGAAACCCTCTTGGTGGATCTGAAGGTCAGAGAGGTCGGATGACGTCTGGCACCGAATGTCCTGTAGACTGACCACAGCACCGACTTCTCCAGTCCAGAGATGTCTCGGGTCACGACATACGGATAGAACCACACGTCTGGGACTCTGAAGGAGTCTAAACAACATCAGCTTGTTCTGCAGGAACTGTTTGCCTTATCAGCTTTGCAGGTGCAAAAAGCTTTTCACGATGTGTCAAAAGCTTTGATGGTTAAAGAGCGTTTTGCTTCAGATGGCCAGTCTAAAGCATTCTCTAGAACTGAGGAATCACCAGAGTAATGTTCTCATGTTATGATTTGTGTAGCCAACCAGAGGTTGACAAGTTTGAGGAATATTAACAAGAATCTCAGAAACACGCCTTCTTTGATACCAGATGCTCTGATCTGGGTAAAGGACTATTTATGTGTCATGAGTTTAACTTAACCTTACTTTGTCCTTGTGTGAGTGCAAATGGTGATGACCTTGTCATATTAACATGCTGAACCATATTTCAATCACTGTAATCATAACATAACATTCATTTCACACTTCAATCATTGAGCACAGATTAATGAAGCATTTCATTATATTATATTTATTATAAGTAGCAATAAACAAACATTTTTGTTTAATGATTATCCAGCTCATAAACTGTAGAAGTTCATATCTGCTTTGATATTAAACTTGTTTTAAAAGAACAAACCTGTGGCTGGATGGAATCTAAATTGGAAATACGAGTTTGGATGCGTGAAGGGAATTATCAGGAGATTTCTTTCAGAGAGAGAAGAAGCGTTCTGGATGGAAATGATGTTTTGCGGCTAACTGAGTTATTTAGAGAGAACAGCATCAAACATCATCTGTCGATTAGTGTCTACCTCACTCAGTTTCCGGAGACCCCCTTTCGGATCCAAGATGTCAAGTGGAGATGATTTCCTCCGGGCACGAGGATGGTAGAAGGACCTCTATGCGACCAAATCAGTCCTGGGTTGTCTCCGTGAGTCACACGACTGATGAACTATTAGTGTCTCAAAGTCCGTAACTCTGAAGGAGTTTTTCGTCTTAACTCAGAAATCAATAACTCTGGGTAGAGTTTTCGTTAGCTGGTTACAGTTTAGTTTATTCTTAGCCATTCTTGTTGGCGTGACAGAACAGCAGGAGAGGTTAGGGACGGCCGTTCCCTTCCTCTGTGATGTTGGTTCAAGAACTGAACTGAAGCTCGTGATGGTTACTGTTTACAAAGCTCTCAGGACACTCCCACACTCTCAGCAAGAAAGCTTTGATCATGCGTCAAAAACTTGTGTTGCAGTTATCGTTTATCTGGACTCTGTGTTAGATGGATAAGGTGAAACTGACCTTCTTTGCTGAACACATCTTTTACTGTCATCAACCATAATCATCTTAATCATTACTATACCCAAAGCATAAATTCCTTTCATGTAATTAAAATACCTTTATACTGAACCAAGTGATCATTTATGATGATTTTCATAAACGGTAATACAATCAAATATATTTTATTAATATTATCATTTAATTATTATCATCATGAACTTGAAGTGTCCTTCTCCTGGGATGGAACAGCAGCAGATAGGGTGATATGATATTGAGCAGACATCATGGCTCCTGGTTAATCTGTGGGTTTAAAAGTACTGTTTGACCCAGCTTGACCCAGCTGGGTAAATGTGACCTTTGCCACAAATTAGAGAACCTTGATGATGCTACAGAGGCATGAAGAATCCTGGAAGATTGGACCTTGCGGAGAGAATGTTATTGTTGACATGTCGTTTTCTGTGTTCAGAGCTGCAGGCTCTGAGCTCCAGCTGGTGGGATGAAGGCAGGCCATTTTAAAGTGCACACATGCAGTTTTGTGTCTCCTTTTTGACCAGATGTTGGATGGTCAAACTGTACCTAAAAACTGACCATTGCTGGACGTTACATAAACTATTATTGCACACTTTCTATAAATCCTATAAACTTACCATAATTCCTCTAATATTGGCCTGTATTCAATTAACGGCCAGGTATCATATTTTGGCCAGTGTCGAAGTCGGTGGAGGGGAATAATGGCCGGTATTTTACTGTGGCTGGGTGGAATGTGGTAACAAGCAAGTACCACGGGGGGGCGGTTGTGTCATCCGTCTCACTTTTGATCTTGCCAGTGACAGACCGCGAGGGTAACTTTAACCGTGCGGAGACGAAGAGGAGGCGAAATTTTGATATCAAGTTCAAAGAGAACGTGCTGATTATGCTGCAGAACACTCTGGGGAGCAGTAGCAGGGGTTGTATGAACTAGTCACTAGTCGACATCACTATAGTGACTTTTTATGCCTGTCATCGACTAGTCGCTGTCACGTGATAATGACTGGCAAGATGCAATCCTCGGAAAAGACAGCAGCCTGCTGTCAGCAGGTGACAAGCTCCTGCGCGTCGGGGGGGGGGGGGGGGGGGGGCAAAGCGCTGTGCCAGAGCGTCGGTACTGACACCCGCCGTAAAACGGACATTTAACCAAATTGTGACATTTA